TACAGGTGCCCGCCACCACGCCTGGCTAATTTTGTATTTTTTAGTAGAAATGAGGTTTCACCATATTGGTCAGGCTGGCTGGTCCCAAACTCTTGACTTCGAGTGATCCACCCGCCTCAGCCTCCCTAAGTGCTGGGATTATAGGTGTGAGCTACCGCACCTGGCCTGCTCTCTTAAGTAACAGTACATTGTCCTGTTTTTTGATATATCTAGTAATGTTAGATCATATCCTGGATAATGTAAATGATAGGTTGTGGAGATTCTGGATTCTTTTATTCTTTGGAAGTGTTGATATTTTTGTTTAGGCAGGCAGTTAACTTGGCATTTGTCTTAGTCCATTAGGGCTGCTATAACAAAACACCATAAACAGTAGAAATGTATTTCTTACTGTTCCAGAGTTTGGGAAGTCTAAAATCAAGGCAAATTCAGTATCTGGTGAGAGCCTGTTTCCTGCCTGGTTCATAGAGAGTGCCTTCTCTCTGCATCCTCATATGATGGAAGGCACAGGACAGCTCTCTGGGACCTTTTTAAAAAGTGCATTAGTCCCATTAAAGAAGGCACAGCCCTCATGACCTAATTACCTTCCAAAGACCCCACCTTCTAATGCCTTGGTACTTTGGATTCAATGTATGAATTTTAAGGGACGCACACATTCAGACCATAGCAGCATCAAACCATAGCAGCACTCAAACTCCAAACTCTCCTTTGTGATAGATGATGGCAGCTGAAGTCTCAGGTCAGTTATTTTAGTCTTAACTGGGCTGCTTATAGGCTGTCTTGCATGTAGTTGAAGAATTAAGCAGAGGCTGGGCATGCTTAATTAGTGGCTCATGCCTGTAATCCCAGCATTTTGGGAGGCCAAGCTACCCTCAAGATCACTGAGGTCAGGAATTCAAGACCAGCCTGGCCAGAAATTAGCTGGGCATGGTAGCGTGGCCTGTCATCCCAGCTACTCAGGAGGCTGAGGCATGAGAATCACTTGAACCCAGGAGGCGGAGGTTGCAGTGAGCTAAGACCATGCTACCACACTCCAGCCTGGGTGACAGAGCCAGATTCTGTCTCAAAAAAAGAAGAATTAAGCAGAGATTTGGGGGCAGAATTTATATGCAAAATTTGGGTTTTTTTTTTTTTTTTTTTTTTTGGAGACAGAGTCTCCCTCTGTCACTCAGGCTGGAGTGCAGTGGTACAATCTCAGCTCACTATAACCTCCACCTCTCAGGTTCAAGGGATTCTCCTGCCTCAGCCTCCTGTAGTTGGGATTACAGGCGTGTGCCACCACACCCAGCTAATATTTTGTATTTTAAGTAGAAACAGGGTTTCACCATGTTTGCCAGAATGGTCTCAATCTCACGACCTTGTGATCTGCCCACCGCAGCCTCCCAAAGTGCTGGGATTACAGGTGTGAGCCACCACTCCCGGCTCTTTTTTTGTTGTCTCTGTTTTTTAGGATTCTTTCTCTATTTTGAGTAGCTATGGTTTTCCTCAACCTTGCTTTTTGGTTCTTCAAACCAGTAAAATTGTAGTTTATTCTGAGTTTTAGACTCTTCACAGTGCTGACTGGGGTTATGCCCTCCATTATGAGATTTTCAAAAAATAAAACATTTTGTCTTTCTGCACTAAACTAAAATTCAGAACATTCTCCCTGACCAATCCTCAAGGAAGGAGCTAAAAGAGATCTAGAGTCATTTTTATTGGAAAGATGGGGGAGAAAGAGAAAGAGGGACAGAGGAAAGAAGTGAGAGAGAGAGAAAGAGATTGTCACTTAATCCCCTGACCCCAGCAGGAAAAACCTTCATTCAAAGAGGGCCTTTGGTCAACCTAAGACAAAAAATATTCATTCATCATTACAAAAGAAGTGACATTATTCTAGTGCAGATTTGATGTATTCATCTTTCAGAATTTTGATTTCTGCTTTGTAAGATATGTGTTAAGAAGGACTCAGAAGGGAGCTTCAGTTTTCTACCCTATTTTGTTTTCTGTATTGGGCTTCTTTACATCACATTTTATTTTTCAGAAATCTTCTGTTAATCTCTCTGAATTGTGTGCAAAAAAAAAAAAAAAAAAAAGATGAATAGAAATTTATTCTAAAAATTAGGCCTGGCACGTTGGCTCATTCCTGTAAGCCCAGTGCTTTGGGAGGCTGAGGCGGATGGATCCCAAGATCAGGAGATTGAGACCAGCCTGGCCAATATGGTGAAAACCCATCTGTACTAAAAATACAAAAATTAGCCCAGTGTGGTGGCAGGTACCTGTAGTCCCAGCTACTCAGAAGGTTGCAGTGAGCTGAGATGGCGCCACTGTACTCCAGCCTGGGTGACAGAGCAAGACTCTGTCTCAAAAAAAAAAAAAAAAAAAAAAAAAGAAAGTGCCGGGCGTGGTGGCTCACACCTGTAATCTCAGCACTTTGGGAGGCCAAGGCAGGCGGATCACCTGAGGTCAGGAGTTCAAGACTACCCTGGCCAACATGGTGAAACCCTGTCTTAAAAAAAGAAAGAAAGAAAGAAATTTATTTTAAAAATTAAAAAATAAGAGTTCTTAAAGGCTATAAAGGTCTGAAAATGATTGATCTAGCCAGTCCTCTTTTTTTTTAATGGTAAGGAAATTGAGATTTGGTAAAATGAAAAGACAATCCTATTATTTTATTGTCTAGTTTCTCAGCACTAGAACCCAAGTTTTCTGATTGCTAACCCAATAATATTTCAGCAATGTCAAGCTTGTACTGTCTGGTTTTCAAAGTAAATATTTAATCTCTACATTATTTTTCCCAAGTAGTCTAGTCAGATATAATGTGAGAACCCTGGTAATATTGGAAGGTGTCGTTTTAAAGTGATTAGATTTTTTTTTTTTTTTTTTTTTTTTGAGACGGAGTTTCACTCTTGTTACCCGGGCTGGAGTGCAATGGCGCGATCTCGGCTCACCGCAACCTCCACCTCCTGGGTTCAGGCAATTCTCCTGCCTCAGCCTCCTGAGTAGCTGGGATTACAGGCACGCGCCACCATGCCCAGCTAATTTTTTTTGTATTTTTAGTAGAGACGAGGTTTCAACAAGTTGACCGGGATGGTCTCGATCTCCTCACCTCGTGATCCACCCGTCTCGGCCTCCCAAAGTGCTGGGATTACAGGCTTGAGCCACCGCGCCTGGCCAAAGTGATTAGATTTTATGCACAACTTTGTTGAGACAGTAAAGATTATGTATGGGGGCTGGCCGCAGTGACTCATGCCTGTAATCCTAGCACTTTGGGAGGCTGAGGCGGGTGGATTGATCGCTTGAGATCAGGAATTTGAGACCAGCCTGACCAATATGGTGAAACCCTGTCTCTACTAAAAATACAAAAATTAGCTGGGTGTGGCGGCAGGTACCTGTAATCCCAGCAACTGTGGAGGCTGAGGCAGGAGAATTGTTTGAACCTGAGAGGCAGAGATTGCAGTCAGCCAAGATTGTACCACTACTCCAGCCTGGGCAACAGAGCGTGCCTCAAAAAAAAAAAAAAAAAAAAAAAAAATTGTATCATGGGAACAAATGAGATATTGGAATTAATTGGAAGTGAAGAATGGTTGCCAGATGCCAGAGAAACTAACAGAGTGAACTGAGGATTGTCATAGGTGTGTTATTTTAGCTAAATGACTAAGGAATAAAATTTAGCAGAATGTGTTTATCACCATTGACCTGGGTCTTCCCAAAATGTCAAGTTAGCAACCAACAACTTCTGTTTCTCGATCACTGGGTCTTAATCTTTGTAAAGAAGAAAGAACACAAATTCTATGGTGTTATTTTCTGCCAATAGAAGACACAATTACAGGAAAATGTTTTTCCTTTGTTTTTCTCTTCTGAGTATACACTCTTCATTTGTTACCTGTTACACAGGACTGCACAGGAATTCAAAATAATTGTTTTACATCTTTCCAAAACTTGATTGCATCTTACTATATTTTACATTTGTATTTTCTTTCATAGCATCTTTGTTATATATTAAAACTCCTGTCTTTTAGCTAAATGCATATTTCTTTTTTTTTTTGGAGACGGAGTCTTGCTCTATCACCCTGCTGGAGTGCAGTGGTGCGATCTCAGCTTACCGCAACCTCCGCCTCCCCAGTTCAAGTGATTCTACTGCCTTAGCCTCCCAAGTAGCTGGTATTACAAGTGTGCATAGAGATGGGTTTCACCATGTTGGCAAGGCTGGTCTTGAACTCCTGACCTCAGGTGATCCACTCACCTCAGCCTCCCAAAGTGCTGGGATTACAGGCGTGAGCCACCACGACCTGCCGAAACTGAAAATTATAGACAGTGCAGTAATGACAAATCCAGCCAGCAGACCCATACTTGAAGAAAATGCCCATAAGAAATAGCTAGTGAATATTCTTCATATGCTTCATGTTAAAAATAAAAGATTATCGGGCCAGGCGCCGTGGCTCACGCCTGTAATCCCAGCACTTTGGGAGGCCAAGGCGGGTGGATCACGAGGTCAAGAGATCGAGACCATTCTGGTCAACATGGTGAAACCCCATCTCTACTAAAAATACAAAAAATTAGCTGGGCATGGTGGTGCGTGCCTGTAATCCCAGCTACTCAGGAGGCCAAGGCAGGAGAATTGCCTGAACCCAGGAGGCGGAGGTTGCGGTGAGCTGGGATCGTGCCATTGCACTCCAGCCTGGGTAACAAGAGCGAAATTCCGTCTCAAAAAAAAAAAAATAAATAAATAAATAAAATAAAATAAAATAAAATAAAATAAAAGATTATCTCCTTTTATGATTCTCCACTTAAAAAAGGTCAGCCACTTTGATTCGTAGGCCAAGGTCTCATCAGGTCTGGAAGGCTTTTACTGTTCTATGATTTTCATTATATTGTAGGCCTTTTTAAAAATAATATAGGGATAATCATCCTATTGCAGGTCATAATGGTACCTTTAATCTATATGAGTTCCCTTTGCCTGAGAGCTACATAAAACATGTCTTCTGTATATTTGATATTAAAACTCAATTCTTACTATGCTTTCTTTACAGAATATTCAGAAGATTCTTGGCCTTGCCCCTTCACGAGCTGCCACCAAGCAGGCGGGTGGATTTCTTGGCCCGCCCCCTCCTTCTGGGAAGTTTTCTTGAACTCAAGCAGAACTCTTTATTTTCTATCATTCTTTCTAGACACACCCATCAGACTGGCAACTGTTTTGTTGCAAGAGCCATAGGTAGCCTTAGTACTTGGGCCTCTTTCTAGTTTCGAATTATTTCTAGGCCTTTTGGGTATGATTAGAGTGAGAATGGCACCCAGCAAACTTGATCATGCTTTTGGTCCTAGATGGTTTTCAAATAAGTGGATTGATTAGTTAAGTTTAGGTGATGTTTAGGTAATGAAAAACAAATAGCATCCTTCTTGTTTCATTTACATAAGAATTTTCTTTGGGACTGACTCTCAAGGCCGTATATATGCCCTGCAAGAGATCTAGAAGAAAAATTTAGTTTGTATGACTCTTAATTGTAACTGTTTTTTGAGTTGTTTTTTTTTAAGCCAAATATATGACATAAGATCAATAAAGAGGCCAAATTGTTAAGTATTTTATATACAAGGAGAGATCTGTTTCATTTTGTTTTGCCCTATTTCTAGATGTAAGTTTTAGCATTGCCCAGGAAGAGCTAAACTAAAAGTTTTTAAGGTACTATATTTTTTGCCATACTTGACTCATGTACTCAAAATACAGAGTTGTCCTGGTGTAGGAACTGGAAAGCAGGAGTGGAAAGGAACGTAATAATTCATGGGAGTTTAAAAATCAGGGTCTTGGCAAGTAACACTGATGTCTGAAAAAAAATTAAATATAAATAAATAAAAATGAGGGTCCTCAACCATTCTCTTCATATCCTATTACAGTCTCTTGTATTCTTGTAGGGGCATTATTAGATCTCCCTCAGAGGCAAGGATATAGTTATATGTTGTTAATCTTGCAGAGCTTTCTTTTAGTTACAATAGCCTTCAGTTTCTGCCATGCCCCTTCATAAGGGAGAAGATATTTGTACCATGATCCTCCCCTATAATCTATGGAATTAGTCGTCCTGTGTGGAGTCCTATCAATAAATATGCACATTCATCAAATGTCTGTGCGACCCGCAGAGACCCTTCCCGAAGCAAATGAGAGCGAGGAGTTGTTAAGCCGAGTCCAGGTTTATTGGGATCTGCGGGCAACCCAGGCGGGAGGGGAGCTGAGCTGCACCCAGCAGCTGCCGGAGAGGGTTTTTATAGGGAGGGGGCCTGCTTAGGTTAGGTGTTGCGGAGTGATTGGTGGAAGGGAGAGCAGAGGAGGGTTTTCTGTGTGCCAGAAGGGGATTGGTCACCTCTTGGCGGGCTTAGGTTTGAATTTTATTGGCTGTCTTGTTTCTAGGCAGACTACTGCAACTGCCAAGGGGTGGGGGATGGGGGTTGGCTTTAGGTTTGGCGGGTTAAGGCTGAGCAGTGATTGGTCGCCCTGCGCTACCAGGCAGAATAGGGTCTGCAGGCGGACTCCAGGAAGTGAGGGACAAAATGGAGGACTGTGGGTTTTTCTACCAAACAATGTCTACTTAAATATGAGTATTCTACCAGTGAGAAAAATCACATAATTTTCAAAGTAATAATTGTTAAACCAACAGCAAACTTCTTTCTTATCAGCACCATAAAGTCCAGAAGACAGTGGAAAAATAAATTCACAGTGCTGAGGAAAATTAGTATCAACTTAGAATTTTATTCACAATATTGGAGGCAAAATAAAAACATGTTTGCACATAGAAAACTAAGAGAATTGAATTATTAAAGGTTGTATTTCAAGGATAGAAAAGAAAATCTGCCCAAAGCGAAGGTATGGGATATAAGAAACAATGATCAACAGAGAAATAAAATGTATGGATAAATATAAGGATAAATTTAAATGTTTTATGGATTATCTAATTTAAGGATTATCCCAAGACAACCCTACCAGGTAATCACTGTTCTTACCTTCATTTAACAGATGAGGATGCTGGGGCAGGGGAGGTTAGTAACTTGCTTCTCATCACAGAGCTATTGAGTGGCAGAGTCAGGATTTGAATTCAACCATTGTAAAGCCAAATAGTCCAGACTGTCAAGCTCTATATTACAGCCTCCTCAGAGGTATGTGGTGATTGTCTTCTCATTACCTCATCTCCTCAACTAGAGTGTGTGAGCTCTCTCAAGTTGGACTTTGCCTTTTTTTTGTTCTCCTTTTTACAAAGTAGTCAACATGGGTGGGAACACAGCAGGAGCTCAATAAAAGCAGATAAAAGGGAACAGAAGTCCCTATTTTGAAACTAGTTTTATCAGGATGTCTGATAATGGATGGTGATGACTTAATGGTCTTTTCTCCATGTCATTGACCACTCTAAGCAAAACAATTATTTTAATGATAATGAAGAAAATGATGCTCATAACAATAATGACAAATATGAAATATCTAAAATAAAACATGAAAAGAAACCCAGCCGGGCGCGGTGGCTCAAGCCTGTAATCCCAGCACTTTGGGAGGCTGAGGCGGGTGGATCACGAGGTCAAGAGATCGAGACCATCCTGGTCAACATGGTGAAACCCTGTCTCTACTAAAAATACCAAAAATTAGCTGGACATGGTGGCGCGTGCCTGTAATCCCAGCTACTCAGGAGGCTGAGGCAGGAGAATTGCCTGAACCCAGGAGGCGGAGGTTGCGGTGAGCCGAGATCGTGCCATTGCACTCCAGCCTGGGTAATAAGAGCGAAACTCCGTCTCAAAAAAAAAAAAAAAACATGAAAAGAAATCATCCTCAAAATTCTGCCATCACCTTTTTAAAGTGAAAATGTATAGCACACTCTATCACTCATACCCTGAGGCTTTGAAGTTGGTGCTTTCTAATTAGATTTCTTATGGACCAGGTTTTTATATACAAATTATGTTGCCATAGTAAAGAATAAATGAGAGGAAGAAGGAGAGATTGCATCTATTCACCCTATTCATTTAAAATTTTTCTTTTTTCCAAATATATTCTGCTTATATATATTCACCCTATTCTTAACAGCACGATAACAAAAATACATTACAGAGGAAATAAAGCTCACATTGCAAGATTTAAGTTCAAGGAGTTATTAAGGGCTACTGCAGCCCCACAATTATTAGCTTTTTTTACATTTCTTGTTTTGAAGAAATTTCAAGACTAGTTATTTGGATGACACTTTAAGTCCACAGCGTCACCAGATCATTGGAGATGACATTTCAAGACAGGCCTCTGATCATCTCTCAAAACACATACTTTGGCTATTTTCCCTGTGCGAAAGAGATGGATTGTCTCATGTCTAGTGAAAAAACATCAGCCATTACTAATATCTGTATTAGGCTACTTAGGTTGCACTCGTAATATGCTAAAGTAGTATGTTTTTAAAAATGAAGGTAAGGCCGGGCGTGGTGGCTCAAGCTTGTAATCCTAGCACTTTGGGAGGCCAAGGCGGGCAGATCACGAGGTCGAGAGATCTAGACCATCCTGGTCAACATGGTGAAACCCCGTCTCTACTAAAAAAAATACAAAAAATTAGCTGGGCATGGTGGTGCGTGCCTGTAATCCCAGCTACTCAGGAGGCTGAGGCAGGAGAATTGCCTGAACCCAGGAGGCGGAGGTTGCGGTGAGCCGAGATCGCGCCATTGCACTCCAGCCTGGGTAACAAGAGCAAAACTCCGTCTCAAAAAAAAAAAAATGAAGGTAAACCTGAGTTTATTAACAGATTGCATTCTAAAGGCTAAGCTAGTTTGGAAATTGGAAAGCAAATATGTGTAGGTATTCATATGCCCTTGACCAGACTGGGCCTCTCTCTACAGGTACGTCATTCTCTCCAACAGGGTCAGTTACTTAAAATGACATCAGACGATTGATAGAACATCCAGATCCTCCTTACTTCCAGAACAAAAGCATTTTACCATATACTAGCATGGAGTAGGTTTTTTTTTTTTTTCCTGACTATTTATACTTACTTTGTGTATTTCAATACTGCCCTTTAAGTAAAAGTACTATATATGTTCTATTTTTTTGGATTAATTCTGCTCAAGTTACAGTATTTTAGTTTATTCTAGTTTGAGTTTTAAAAAAAATTTAGAATGAAAAAATCTCAAAAAATATATATATATAGAGAGAGAGATAGATAGAATGAATAAACACCTAGGTACCCATCCTCCACCTTCGACAATTATCAACTCCTTGCTAATTTATGTCATCTCTAATCCCACTTGCTTCTGCCCTTTCTATATAATTTTAAAGTAAATCTTAAAATTTATCTGTAAATATTTCAGAGCTTTAAAAAATGTGTATAATCTTAATACCATTTTTACACATAAGAAAATGAACTCCTTCATATTATAAGTTGTCTATAGATGTCAAAAATTTTTGCAGTTTTTTTGGGATCAGGAACCAGATAAAGTACTGAATATTGCAGTTGGCTGATACACATCCTAAATATCTTCTATTATTGTGGTCCTTAAACTAGAGTGTATCAAAATCACTAGAGCCTTGTTAAACTGCTGGGACCCACCCCAGAGTTAGTGATCTGTAAGTCTATTGTGGAGTCTGTGAATTTGCGTCTCTAACAAATTCCCAGGTGATGCTGAAGCTGCAGATTTGGGGTTTACTTATGTATTGGTTCATCACCATCTCTCTGCCCTCCACAACATATTTCTTGAAGAAGTTGTGTTGTTTACCTTGTAGAGTTTTTCTTAGTTTGGATTTTGCTGATTGCATGCTGTTGGTTGTCTCTTTGTAATGTGAGCAGCTTTTGATCTATTAATGAGTTATTAAAAATGATGGTATTCTAATTATAGTATTCCTTCATTTATTATCTAAATACCTCTGTAGATAGAAACTTCCCCTCATCTACTTTTTGGGGGAAAGTTAAGAATAAATGTTTAACTCCTTGGTCTTCAAAATAATGAGTTGTTTATTAATATCTTCCAATAGTGAATAATTAATGTGTATGTCATTAGCAATTCATGCATTTAAACATATTTGATGTACTTCAGTCCACTGAAACTATTTCTCTTATGAATGCTCAAATTGTCCCATTTTTGGCCAGTGAGAGCCTCTTTAATTGGCTCCTGAGTCCATCTGCATGACCCTTGTTGTCACTGGTAGCATCTTTGCTAAGTGATATTACAAGATGTTCTAAGGCTCATCTTGTGTATTTCCTGCCTGACCTGAAAACAGTTTATCCAAAGAGGCTTATTTCCTCTTTACTGGAAAATGGCATTTGGAAATTGCAATCAGAGCACTAGAAATGTTCATTGAGACTGGGTTTAGAGGTTTCTAGGCCTTTCTGTGAACTAACATGGTATTATTTCTTGTTTTAATATAAAATACAGCGTGAAATTATACTGATACGGTCGGGCGCTGTGGCTCATGTCTGTAATCCTAGCACTTTGGGAGGCCGAGGTGGGTGGATCACCTGAGGTCAGGAGTTCAAGACCAGCCTGGCCAACATGGTGAAACCCCATCTTAAAAAAAAAAAAAAAAAGAAAAAGAAATTATACTGATACTCAGTGCTACAGAATTTTTACTTAATTTCTTTGGTCTGTGTCTCCTTATCAAACCATACTAAATTCCAGTTTTCAGCACGTGACTGCTAGAATATTACATAATTATTCATTAGTATAATCAAAAAATACACACTCAGAAGTCTCGGAATATTAACGTAAACATTACCAACAATATAGTTACTGGAAATAGTTTAAATTTTGTTTTTTGGGGGATAGAAGAGAGGGAGGATTGTGTAAGCTATATATATCACACTATGGGTTCACAGTCCCAATACTGAGATTTCAAGTTATCTGGAATAGTTTAAGGTTATTGCCAACAGAATATACATTTACATTTGTTTGATTTTACTTCCAATTGTTAGAGATAACTCTTTAATCTTACTTTATATGTTTTGATGGGTTTCTAGGCTTTGCACAAAAAAGCATACTTAAGCTACATAGAGATGGGCACCCATTACCACACTTCTCTTATGGGTTTGACCCCACTCATAAGCCCTATAATGTGTGAAAAGATGGGCAGGTAAAATTCTTACCAGAAACAATTTAATTTTAAGCCCA